GGGGAAGTAATCAGTAATTAATTACTGATTACTTTTTTTAAGTAACTTGACCAACACTGCTGAGGAAGGTCTTAGACATGCTTCTGGCAGAGAGGAAAGGTGTGTTTGGTATTGTGTACTTTCCTTAATTTTTAAATACACAGCTTCAGATGCCCATTGTTGGAGTATGTTGGTGAAGCTGGAAAGTGAGGATGGGATCGAGGATGAGACCGGAACAAGAATACCGAAATAGGAGATTTCTTCTCAACGTTTTTTGTTGTCTTTCACTATGTAGCAATTGTGTCATCAAACATTTCAGCTGACCTCATGTTGTTGCACTCTTCTGATGAGCTAGGCTGATGGCCTGTATAGGTCCAGTAATTTTTATTAGAAAAGTGACAGAGTATTCACAGTTTCTTGCGATCCCTAAAACAGGTTTAAGAGAGAAAGACCATCCTGATCGAGTATCACTCCTGTGAAGGATACCAAGGAGGGGCATGAGGCTTTAAGTTGGATTATGAATTTACACCTTGAAAGGTGTAAAAGGAGGAAATTGTTGGGATTTATTTTTATCTGTAAGGCTAATTTATCACAATTAGCCTTGGACATTTGTTTTTTGTCTTTTACTGCACACAGTGTAATGTTGAGAAGTTTTGGAGGTGGACTGCTACTCTGATATTATTTGACATTACAGAGAGAGGCCCTGTTTCCAAGGAATTTGAGTGGGTGGGTTACGTCTCTAGTGAAAGCACCAGAAGGTAAACATGGGCTTGGAAAAGCTCTCTGGATCTTCTTGCAGGTTGATGGAGGACCAGAGATGGTTGTCATGGTAACGGGAGTTTTGCTGACAGAAGGATGAAGTGGCATTTCCATATAATGAGATGCCCAGAAAGCTTCAGAAGAAGAAACACGAGCTGATATCAGACCTAAGGCCAATCTAAACTGCTTTGATCGATCATGTTAATACCATGTTTCTGTGACATGCAATAAAAAAGTGTTTACTGCAGCCTTTTGTCTCTGAGCCAGAGAGAGGAGGTCCATGGCGCCATGAAAAACGTATTTTAAATTCGAACCATTTTGATAACAAATGTTTAAAGTATAACTAGAGCATATAATTGTCTTCTGTCTCATAAAAACATCTCCCTACAGCTCCTGCCAAATTAAAACATTCTTAATTTAAAAAAAACGTACTTAAATGAATACATTCAACAGCTCTTGTGAGATGAACTGGCATTTATGCTATATCTCTTCCAACACAGTCACATGTTTTTAGATTTAGATAGTCATCATAATAACTGTCATAACTGTCAGTATGGCAATTGTGTGTACTTGAATTTTAAGTTTATTGAGGTTAAACTGTATATTGTACACTGGCCTTGAAGAAACGGTATGTAATACACAAGGTAAAATACATTCAGACATGTTATTCAAGCATATTATGTATATTTTGAACCACATTTATTTCTGGGAAAATGTACTGTATAGTTTCCTCTTAAGCTGAATGTTTTGGTGGGAGGGGTCTGTAGCAGACTGATTTTATGTTCTATGATTTATTTTTATCGTGGAGAGAAAAGATGAAAGAAACTACATTGAATCCAGCTTCAAAGAAAATATTCAGGTAATGTGAATTGGATCAGTGGATAATCTTGTCTCCACTTTCAAACAAGATACTCTTAGAGAGAGTATCTGTTATATAAATTATAAGACCTTTAATTTTTAAAGCACAAAAACTGCAGTCTGACTTAGACCGTAATACAAACCAAAAACTGCATGTGTGTTTTCTGACTGTTCACCATCAGAATGTCCAACAAAAGAAAATACAGCAGCATTCAGTGACCACAACAGAGAAGCCAGTTCCTGTAATATTCAGCATCTGATTCTGTTTAGAATTTCTGCTAAGCAAATGTTTATGGTTGAACTAAGTAACTGATCATTTACAGTATTTCACAGAGTCTGATAGTGTTTTGCATTATGTAAACGTTACTTTAAGCTTCTAACCAAGGGTGTAGATTTGGCATGGACAGAAGGGACGTGTCCCCACCAATATCCAGCGATTATTGAATTGTCCCCACCAATAATTTTTGGTGGGGACAAAACAAAAACAAAACA